TGTTTAGGATTAGTAGACCTATCGATTTTATCAACTTAATACATACTTAAATCGGGATTCAATTTTTCTTTGATTTGCATCTGAGTCCCTTTTACAAAAATAAATTTAAAAACATTTTGCTCATTGATTTTGAATATATTTGATTTCTTTGTAAAAAATGAGACCCAAATACTCTATAAATGATGCTTATAAAATTGCAATAGAGCGGAACGGCCTATGTCTCTCAGACAAATATATTAATAGTAAAACGCCATTATTGTGGAAATGCGTTAAAGATCATGAATGGAAAGCAAGATTTGATCATATTAGAGATGGTCATTGGTGCCCTCATTGTGTAGGCAATGTAAAACTTACACTTGCAAGTGCTAAACAAATCGCAATAATGGTGGTTTATGTGTTTCAGAAAAATACATTAATACTCCTTTGCAATGGAATGCGCTAAAGACCATATATGGTTCACCCTCTTAAATGTTATAAAAGATCAAGGTTCGTGGTGCCCTCAATGTGCTTATACTTGGAGTTATACTCTTGAAGATGCTAAACGAATAGCATTATCTAGACATGGACAATGCCTTTCAAACAAGTATATCAACATTAAATTACCATTATTGTGGCGTTGTATTAAAGGGCCTGAATGGAAAGCAAATTTTGGACATATTAGAGAGGGCCATTGGTGTCCATACTGTGCGGGCAATGCAAAACTTACTCTTGCAAATGCTAAACAAATTGCAATAAAAAATGGTGGTTTATGTGTTTCAGAAAAATATATTAATAGCAATTCAGTGGAATGCATCATACAGTAAAATCTAAGCGTTGGTGTCCCTATTGCAGTAATAAATATATGCGTGAAAATTTATGTGTGAAATTATATCAAAATATCTTGGATCGCCATCTAAGATACGCCGATCTGATTTTCTTAAAACATCAGAGCATTCAAGAGGATTAGAACTTGATATTTATTACCCGGAATACGGTTTTGCAATCGAAGTACAAGGGCAACAGCATGAAAAATATATCAAATTCTTTCACAGAAGCGATCCCAATAATTTTATCAAACAGCAAGCACAGGATCAACTCAAGAAAGAATTATGCGAAGAAAACTGGATTGCCTTGGTATTACGAAGACCCATATATAGTTATTCCAGAGCATCTTCGAGAATTGGGTCTTATTGAATAATGTTAAAACTTTAAATGCATTTGTGATTTACTAATCAAGAAAATTTATTATTTTTTTTGGTCAGCAATATATACAGTAAATGTATAACAATAGACCTCACGGGTCAGCTTTATCAATAGCAGAAAACTATACGTGAAGAAATAACGCGATCATATATAAACATGCAAAGATTGACATGATGGTTAATTGGATCAACTAATAAAAGATGATCGGAATTTCACTTATCCTTGTTGAGTTCTCCTCAATTGATATGAAAGAATACATCATCTTCCCCGAAATCACTACTGCGTACTCCCACTTTTGTTAGTATCCATGCCGTCCCAACAGGGTGTAGTTGAGCATTAGGGTGTTGAGCTTGGAGACTAGTAGGAACGAAGAAGGCGTTTGGAAAAGAGTGCGAATATTGTTGCGTACAGTATAGAGTTCGGTGACGGTTGCGAAGTGAAAGATACAACGAGAATTCTCATCTCGGCGTCTATTTTGAAGACCATTTGTTGCAAAAGCATCCATGACTGTATAATAAGCCGGCCAACCCTGCTGATTGATCCAAGCTTGATTTGGAGAAATAATAAGGACTGGGTCGAGAATTTTTACACTACTAAGTTGCTTCTCGTATTTTGTAATTTCCTTGTTGGAGGCTTGCGAGAAAATGGTTTTAAGTGCTTCATGGGTAGATACGAAATCTTCAAAGTCTTCAGACATTCTAAAAATGTGAAAGAGTAAGCTTTTATTAACTACAATGGCCCGGATAACATTATACTTACTTGTTGGATGAAGAAGTAGTGTTGCTTATTGAACAAGCCGTAATTGCTGTGTTAAAAGTATTTAGGTTATATAAAATGTAAAATTTTATTTATCGATGCTATATTTTTACCTTTCCACAACTGTATAGTACCAAATACAATGGCTAAGATAGAGGAAAAAATGCGAAGGGGAAAGCCTAAAGAATGTGAAATGGAAATAAGTTAGAGAGGCGACAAAGGAGGCAACATAGTTGTCAATAAAATTTGCAGAGTGTGAAAATACACCATACAGACCAGCCAGCCGAAAAATGCACAGATTGGAGGTATTGTAGCGTAAGTAAACCAGGTGAGGGGTGACAACTTTTTTCATGATGGGAAAACCAGGTTTGAATATTATGCTACCCATGAAAGATCGTCGAAGATGCACCAATCAGATCTTTTCTAACAATTGACTCTCTATGAAACCACTTCCTGCGCACTAACAAAAAAATTCTCCGTAAAATTTTAGTATAAGATAAGCCATAATTTCAGTCACAACCCCAACTTTAACGTAGGGCTTTTATTACTTTAAAATTTTGATTGTTTAATTAGTGCAGATCATCTATTGGTGCATATTGTCGATCTTTCATGGTCTCACTGGGGGTACAGTAATGAATTTATTTATGATATATACAGTATATAACGCAAAACAATGATTAATTTCTCTGTAACATCTTAAAATTATGGCCGATGAATTTAGTTTTAAAAGATTTGAAGTTTATGGAACATGTGCAAATTGTA